GGGAATTTGTGACCATGTTTTTCAATCTGCTATAGTCTATCAGATAAATACTTATTCAGTAAACAGCTATTCACAAGCACTGTTTAAAGAACTTCAAATCAAACATGCACAAGATGTAATAATATATACATTGCCATTTTTTCATTTTCCTTGGAACATGTAGTATTTGTGAATTGTCACTCCATTTTCCATAGAGATCAGTATTTATGTAACATCTTTCTTCCTATGGTACAAAAATGAATCATTATTAATAAAATATTAAAAGAAGAGTTTTACCTAATTAGTGTGGAGGAAGAAAATCACTGGGGGTTATAAGTAATTTTTAGCCTTTCTAAATTTGTAATAAAGAACATGTGTTTTATAGTCAGAAAAAAATTAAGGGTATGTCAGTGTAGTTCTGCAGTTATGCCTGATATATATAAGCACAGAAGTTAAATTAGTAGAGAAAATCTCAGGGAAGTAAGTTTTTCTTTGTAGTTGTATTATGACTTTGCTCTCAGGTAAAATGACAAAATATCAGGTACCTGGAATTTTTTTTTTTTGTAGAAAACATCATAAGAGAACAAAAGTATTTGATTTGCTTAGTTATTTTATGAACACTGATCTAACATTTTCCATCAATATTTTTTAAATTATAAGAATGATAAGAATGCTGCTTTTCTTCTGATGGAAAGTGACAGGCTGATCATCAGTTTACCCAGAGTGAAGTGGACAGAAGTAGCACTGACTATGGCATCTCGGCTTCAAGAAGAATGTATTGCATTCATTATAAAAAACTTATCCAGGATCATTGAGAGTGAAAATTTTGCTCTTCTCTTACAGGTACTACCTCTAAAATTATACCCCACCTTTGTGTTCTAGTTATAATTACATGAGAGTTTTTTAAAATGCAGTTTACCTTTGATTAAATTAGTATGACTTAAATAAATTCCATAGCAGATGGCATGTTTGCATCGGATTTAGAGCAGTGATGGACAGGATTTTTGGCTCAGGATACCGAAGGCAGGAGGGGACAGATTTGAGTGCCCTGGCAAGGTGCAGTGTAACTCTGCTCAACAGTAGCCCTCATCAGCATAAGCTATATTTTAGAAACCAGTCATAAAGATAATGTTTGATCATTAATACAATTATGGTCCATGCAAAATTCTCCATCTTACTGGGGACCTATTTTCTCTAAACAGAGGTTTTAAATAAAGAGCTTATATTACCTGTTTCTAGGTTCTGTTTTGAAGACTATTTTGGTTCTTAAGAGTGTGTGTGTGTGTGTGTGTGCTCACACAGAGATTTTTTTAACAAAGGAAAGGAATTATAATAATAGTTATTATTATAATGATATAATAATTATATTACTATTAACAAAGGAAATAAGATTTGTGGTTGACTTCAGCCAGTTATGAGGAATGGACTGCTGTTATGCCAGACCTTTACATTTCTTACACGTTTTATAGGTTTTCCTACTAAATACCAATTTCTGTGTTTTGTAGTCACAGGCAATGAGCAGTACAGCTGATCTGTTGGACAAAATCTTAAAAGCAATTGAAGAAAACATTACCACTGAGAATAGTTGCTCTCTTCTTATGGCTCTGGACGCATTACTGAGCTCTGACAGTACTAAGGAAATGGTATTGAAAAAAACAAAATTCTTCAATATAATAGAATATTTGAATTATTTTCAGATTTTAAAATATATTCACATTTTAAGTGTTGCATGGTTTGTTGAAACTAAATGATGGATACCTGAGGATTGGTTATATTCTCTACTTTTGTGTATTTTTGGAATTTTCCATAATAAAAATTTTTAATTTCATATCACCCAATGGACTATTATAAGACTTCAGAATTTTGCAGTTTGGCTGGCTAATTTTAAACACAGTTTAGTACTTAGCAATATTAATCGGTACATCATAACAAGTATTTTTCCCTGGCCACTACATTAGATTTCCTAAATATAAAACTTACATTGAATTTTTAAGTTTTTTTTGTATTTATAATCATCACTGTCTTTTATTTTTATAATATATTATTAATTCTTTTTATCTTCAGAAAAAATCGTATTTAAAATTGAATTGACTAGTAAGAAAGCAAAATTTAAGTATTTGTTTTTAAATGCAATTAATCAATGGAAAAAGCTAATTGAAAATATTCACATTTTGTATTTGTTCAACAAGAATGATAAAAATTTCATCATATTTATTACTATTGCATGGAGTATTTGACCTTGTAATGTCATAGTTGATTTGAAAAGGTATTCATGTGAAGGCCATTGGTCATTTAAAATAATGTTTGGTGGAAAGGATAAGGTCTCACTTCACTTTCATGTTCACTATATAATTCTGTTGAGCAGTAAGCCTTCATAAATGCTCCCAACGATGAAAACAGTCTAAGTGATGACATCATTGATATAGCTTAGGAGTAAGCAGATTCGGAAAGGAATAATGACTGGTTGCTATGACAATGTGGCTCTCACCAGCTGCTGATTTGTTGCTTGAACACAGGGTTTTACGTGCAAGATCCAGGCTCTGCGTGATAAGCTGTGGATCTTCCTGGTTCAGTCTTTCTATGCTGTTCGTCACACAGAAAGCTGGAAGCTGATGAGCACAGATGATCAACAGAAAATCCAAGCAGGTATGTTAGTCTTGAGATTTTTTATTCTTATGATCTTTGTGTCAAGAGTTATTTTGAGGGGATTCTAATAAGTGGTAGGATTAATTTTGTTTGCTTCTGTTCAATAATAGCTTGCTAACCGAAACTAGTGAGAGTATGTTTAGGCAGTTTTACTAAATCATGGGGCTTTTTTTTTGCCCTTCTTAGAAAATGAAACTCATTTCCTTAATATATATGTGTGTGTGTGTGTGTGTGTGTTGTGTGTATATATATATATAAAATTTTAATCCTACTCTATGTTAGCAATAATATTCTAGCCTCATTTGCTTAAAAGCAGTCTTGTAAAGAGATTACAAGTACAAGGAAATGTAATTCACATAGAATAGATTACAAAACATATGTTCCCTCTCTTTTTAAATATATTTTGCCATAAACCTTTTCCATCTTTTGCATATGACATCATTTCTTGTGGTTTCGCCTAGATTAGATGGTTTATTTCACAATTGATTGGTTCAGTGATATGGTGTGTGCTATTGCGGAGTGTCCCCCAGGAGCTGCACAGTGGTCTCTGACATTTAATAGTACCATTTGAAACATTAGCATTAAACAAAAGATGTATAATTCTCAGAATGTTTATTTCAAAAATATTAAAATTTTGAGGGTAGAACTAAAAATGGCTTCATGACTATTTTTTGGGTTAAAGCAGGTGCCTCAGAAAAAATATTGGCAGATTCATCAAGTATACTTTTAAAAACATTTTAGTTAAGAGACTGTATTTTGTGAAGCAAACATTTTTGTACTAAACACATGAAAGCCTTATGTGATATAATCTTGACAGTACATTATACATAGATATGTTACATTCTCTAATGGTCTAGCCAGAATATGATTTGCTCTGTATTGTGTTATGACCATAATATGATAGTGTAGCTAGAAGTGATCTGAAGAGTAGTTTTCAAAGAAATTCCGACAAAATACTAAAAAAACAAAATCATGAAATAGCAGAAATCATGAGATGGTCTTTAGAAATTAGAAATTTCTTCCTTGTGACCATTTCTGTACTGATTTTTGGCAGTTTATCTTTACTATAAAATCTAATATATTATGAAGAAATAAGATTGGCATTCCATGAGTAGGTGTCATTCAACTCTCCTCTAATTGGTAGTAAAGTTTATTTTTCTCCATTTTAGAAGATTTCATAATTAAGCTGGGCCTCAACAATGTTTTATTTATTAATTCTTGAAAGTGCTATATATACATAATACATATATATACCTACATATATGTAAAACAATATTATTGGTAATTGTACTAATTGTCAGAAAGAACTTTTCAATCTAATATGTCAGTGTAATAGTAATTTTTTTAACCTTAAATATGTTGAATTATAATGAGCCCTGACTTATGGATAATTACTGCATTGGGAAACCCCAGATAAAAGAATGATTCTAGGTTACCTTTGTTATGACGTTTCTTATATTCTAGTTAAGTTACTGACCTTTGGGAGAAGTCTTACATTAATTTCTTCTTATGTATTATTGTGCAAAGTCATCTGCTTACTACAAATCAGTTCTTACAATGCCATTTCCAGGATCCTGCTTTGTCTTATAGCACAGATCCTATAGAATAGAGATAAAAGATGCATAGTAGAGTTACAGATAATTTATTTTTGAGCAGCTGTTTTAACAAAAATCAGATCATCTTTGGAGATATATATATTTCTTCAAAATATATTTTAAAGCCCCATAACTTTGAAAAGGAGGAAATATATTAGCTAAACTATATTTATAGTTCTCATCCCATTATCTGTTTTCCTGATATCATTCAAATTCTTATATGAAAAATATATATATGTGAGTTCTCCAATAATTCCCCTATAAGCCTAATTTATAAAATGAATTTTTTGTAATTCTAAAAAGAATGATATGGGTTTGAAAATCGTTTCATATTTTATTTTCAGCAGAACCTGATTCCTTTCTCTTCTCTTTCCTTCTTGCTCATGACTTGCCTGCAAAACCAGAAACTATTTGCAGTTAATTTCATCAGAGTATTTTTACAGTTTTTAGGATAAACATTTTCTCATATAATGGTTTACAAAATATTACATTTGCCATGATCTTTAATTTTTTGAAATTTTGAAAACTAAATGAAATCAGTTATCTCTAAAATTTCACAGCTTGAGAAAATTCTGGTTTTTTGTAAATGTATGAATTCTCTCATGAGATTGTATATTTCTTATTTATTAATCTTAACATAAGATGCAAAGGGACCAGGAAATAAGATGAAAATGAGGTTCTTTAAAAAAAGATTATAAAATATAATAGGGAATTATTTATATGTACGTAATTGTTTTCAGCCTTTTTAAAGTTATTTCCATCAAAACATAACCTTTTTCTGGTGGCATGCCCTTTACTTTTATGGTGATAATAGTGTTTCCCAAAAAAATAAATTACTGTTTCTTTCTGCAGCTGCATTCGACAAAGGTGATGATCGAAGACTTGGCAAAAAGCCTATATTCAGTAGCTCTCAGGTACAAATTTTTTAATTTTATAGGTCAAAATGGAAAATTACACCAAATAGTTTAAATTTTATTATTTTATATTTCAGAATAATTTTTAAAAATCTATTTTATTAATGAAAGCTATTTCCTATTGAAAGTAATTTTGAATCTTTTTTAATCAAGTAAACATTCCATAAATTTTTAAATGATGTGAATTTTGATAGCCAGCTGGCTTAGGAAGTGAAATATTGCATACATTTTTATGTCTTTGAAAACTTTTTTGGCAACTAATATATTGGAGCTATTCCAGTAGCTCTAGAAAATTGTCTAGAATTCTAGACCTAATTCCATGTGTATTTTTCTAATTAACCTACTTCACAGAAAAGAGAACTTAGTTGTCCCAGTTTTCTATATACTAAGATTTTAATTGACATAATATATTTCTGGTGTGAAAAAGCAGTTAGTACCAAGGGTATAGTTTTGTTTTACTTTAAAAGCTACTTGGTGTGCTTCTGTGAGGTATCTAAAGTAATTAAACTCAGAAACAAGAAGTGAAATGGTGGTTGCTACGGGCAGTGGGAACAAGGAAAAAGGAAATTGTTGTTCAAGGGTACAGAGTTTCAGTCATGCAAGATGATAAAGTTCTAGAGATCTGTTGCACAAACAAGGTGCATATAGTTAACATAACTGTACTATACACTTAAAAATGGTTTAAGTGGTAGATTTTATTTTTTTACCATGCACAGTGTTACTTGGTGTGTTTGTTAAAATGTGAAATATATTTTCTTCCCTCAGAATGTTATTAATGATTGTAGAGTTTCTCAAGCTAACTTACAGATGGTCACTTAGTAATATATGGAGTATGAAATTATTCTAACTTAGTACATGTATTCCTGTGACATGGAGATACATATTGAGAGTTTCAGTTTGGGATGCAAAGAACATACTGCCCTTGCAGAGTAGAATAGGAAATCTTTCTTTTTCATCAGCCAATAGACAGTAACTCATATACCCCAAGCCACAACTGAGAGCTCTCACGGCTTAAGGCAGAGGTCCAGTTCCCAATATCATGGGTGAGAAACTGTGGGACACTGGAGATTTTTGCCAGTAAACCTCCTAGTACAATTTCCCAAAGTATATTCCACACCATACCAGCTCCATCATATGTTTCATCTAAGAACATCTAGTGTCAACTAAGTTTGAGAATTACTGTATGTGATAGCACCTCTTAGAAACTAATGATGCACATTAGCACCTTAAAGGCTCTGAGAAACACTATAGTGAAAACATTTTTTAATTATTTTACCCAGAATTTCCCCATATTTTATAACCATGGAATACCACAAAACTTCCCTTCAGTTCCACCTCAGCATATTATATAGTTCCACAGAACATACTCTAGGAAATGGTACATTAGGACATTTTTTCTATGTACAGTTCCCTGTTACATCTACTGGTTTTTTTTTTTAAGGCCCCCAGGAATGAGCCTTCCTGCTTTCCTTTCCCCTCTTCTACTGTTATCAACCAGGCTTTTACTCCATCCTTGCCTTAACCGAAAGTGGAACAAAGTGTTAATCCTCTTCCTTACCTTCCTGACTTTCAGGTTGTCCAAGGGTTTATACTGCTAATCACAACAGGAAGGAAACAGGGTGCTATGTTTCCCTCAAAAGGGCAGTAGTATACTGAAACGGGTGCTGGACACAGAATCAGAAGAGTTCAAATCATGACTTCACATTTAGTGTCTGTGTCATCCATGAGCCGTAGTTTCATTATCTGTAAAATGGATTAATAAAATCTAACAGGATTATTGTGAAAATTAAGTGAAATAATTTATGTGCAGTTATTTGGTGTGTAGTAAATACTCAGTAAGTGTACCGTGAATAAATGTATATTCAAATCTGCTGGAGGTGGGAGAAAATTAATGAGATAAGACAGCGAAAGGTTTAAGAAGAGTGCTTTTACTGAAATACTTAATGATAAAATTATATGATGTCTGGGATTTGCTTTAAAATAAAATGAAGGTAGTTATATATGAAAAAAACAAAGAAAGTTGGCCCAGAGCTGATAAGCTGGCTAATGGGTACATGGGGGTTCACTATATTGTTCTGTCTTCTGACTATGTTTAAATTTTTCTATAATACAGTTAAACAGAAAAGGAATAGTACTGAATTGAAAGGATAATCTAAGAGGAATGCTTTAGGTTATCCTCTTGTTCTCATTTTTGTCAATAGCATGTGATGACCTTTCCATATAAGACCTTGAATATAAGATATATATGTAAACTTTGCAATTGTAAGTCAGAGACTGTCTAGAAATATCAATACATGGAATCCTTATCATGCTATGCTATGTTAATGTGAAATTTCTAAAGGAATGTAGTTACCTCATATACTAGATAGATCTCACCCATAATAGGATGCTTTAAAATAGATTCAAGGATAGAGTAATTAAGTGGGATCAGTTTTAATGGTGGGAAAAGGTCTAAAATCAGAAGTCTACCTGGTTTTAAAATAGAGAAATTATATTTTGAGCTAAGATTTGATCAGAAAACAAAAAATATTTTTTTGTTTACTGTTAAAAATGATTTTCAACCCTATTTTATCTTTATAAATATGTAGAATCTTAGAACACTGCATTGAGTAGGACCATTCTCCACCCTGTAGACATGCATAACCCAGAGATGTTAATGACTTCTTAAACATCCAAAGTCAGCTAGAGGCAAAGCTAGGATGGGAATGTAATAATTCCTTTATTAGTGTACCTTGCTTTTTCCCAAACTTAGCCAGTTTAATACTTATTATGAATGTATGTATTAATCTTGAACAACACAGGGGTTAGGAGCACTGACCTCCTGTACAGTCAAATCCATGTATAATTTTTGACTCCAAAAACTTAACTGACAGCTTACTGTTGACTGAAGCCATATTGATAACATACACAATTAACACATATTTAGTATGATATATTTTATATACCATATTCTTACTATAAAGTAAGCTAGAGAAAAGAAAATGATTTTCAAATTGTCACAATTTCCAAACATCTTCCAGTCTATTTACTGCAGAAAATCCATGTAAAAGTGGCATGTGCAGTTCAAACCATATTGTTCAAAGATCAACTATATATGTTACCTTTACCTTGAATAACTTTTAGGGTAATTAGAAGCTTTCTATTTTTAGAAATAATTAGACCTTGAGCTGTGCATCAATATGCTTAGGTTTAAGATCAGTCATCACAATTTCTTCAGTACCCAGTATGTTGTGAACACAGTGCTAAGGCATATAAAGATGAAGACCACACAGGCTCTACCTCATACCTCTACAATCTCATAAAGCTTTCCAAAGAGGGTGAAAAAAGTTTTTACATAATGGCAATATAATCTTAAAACTTTATTTTACAATTTGTACCAATTTTTAACTTTTTGTTGTTCCTTTCCATAGCAAAGTTGGTTCAAACCAAAATGATGAAGTAGGTGCATTTGTCTTCAGTGCCTTTCTATTTTCCCCAATTTACCTATTTCACCTATTTCCTCCAGATAGCCAATACTGTGTTACTATCTTCTTTCTTCCAAAAACCAAACTTTTCAGTTGTAATGTGTTATGTTTCCAAGTGTTTTTTTTTTTTAACACAACTGAATCTTTAGTGATAAAATTTCTGGCATTTGAGATAGGATTGAAGAGAGTATTTTGGTGAAAATCTTTATACTGTCTTTCAAATACGACTTAGGTAGCTGCTTAAAGCAGTAAATCATGAACTCTTAAGTCCTAGTTCCATCCCTTGTCAGCATGGACCTTGGGTAAATCACACACGTGTTTTAATCCCTAGTTTCTTGTCTAAGAAATGGACATAGCAACAGGAACTTCTCATAGGGTTGTTGGGAGGGTTTAGTGAAATGATGTATGAAGGGATTTTAGCACAGAATCTGTTAGTGGGCCCTTAAAAAACAATGGATATTATTCTCATTCACCCAAGGCATCCTGACACCTTTAGATATTAATTTCTACCATAACTTCATAAACTTTAAATACTATGTCTTTTTAAATAGTATTGCCTTTTAATTTTTTATGCTGTATTTCAGATTTGATTCAGGTAGTATGGCCAAAGATATATCCAAATGATCAAAGGTGATTCAAGTCTTATGGATGAGTAAGCTGTGGCACACGTGTATCATGGATTATCACTCAGCCATACTTGCCATTTACAATGCAGATGAACCCAGGGGTATATTAGGCTAGTGAAATCAGAGAAAGATAAAAACCACATGATTTCACTTATCTGTGGAATTTAAAAAAGAAGCCTACAAACAAAACAAATAAATTGATAAAACACAGAGACCAGACTACTGGTTGCCATAGGGAACAGGGGTAGGGGATGGGTAAAATAGGTTAAGGGGGGAAAATTAATGAAAATATTTGATATCTTGATCTGGATGATGGTTATATGAGTATATACACTATGCCAAAATTCATTGAGCTATACACTAAGATTTGTACATTTTATTGTATGTACCTCAGTTTAAAAAAATACATAATCCAAGTTTTGAGTGGCCCTAAATCATTACATGAACTTTTTTTTTTCCTCTTTAAAAACTGGCTTATGGACACACAATAGATGTCGAAGACTTCAGTCAAGTTACAAAGTATTTTTTTTCTTCTTTATAGCAAAGGAGACAAGTTTCTGACTCTGATGTTATAAAAAACAAATTTTGGAAAGGAAATAACAAGAAAGAGTGTTGGAGTTATACCTCTACTAATCAAAAGATGAAATCAGATGGATTAGGAGCATCAGGACATTCATCAAGTACGAATAGAACTACTATAAGTAAAACTTTGAAGCATGATGATGATCTAAAAGAAAAGGATGGTACAAAAATAGCATCAAAAATTACAAAAGAATTAAAAACTGGGGGAAAAAATGTCTCTGGAAGGCCAAAAGCTATAATAAAGCCCCAAACAGAAAACAACGATAATGCAAAGTCAGGAAACATGTCACCTAGACAAGCTGTGGAAAGAACAACAGCAGCAAATGGACAGAAACACTCATTAAATGGGAAAGGAGTGAGAAATCAGGAAGGGAAAATTGCAGGAGCCAGACCCAAGGTACTCACTGGGAACCTAAATGTGAGAGCCGAAGCCAAGCCTGCGAGGAAAGTGACGGGAAAACAGTCTCCTTGCGGCGGCGCTGTGGGACACTCCCGCAGAGCTGCAGATTCCCGGACGGGATCATTCATGCCCACTGAATGCCTGGGTGACCCACAGGAGAATGGATCAATAGGAGAGGAGACATCCTCTGGGCATAAACTGTCTCTTCGTGAATCTCCAGGACAGACAATGAAAAGCAGTATAGAAAGTATTAAAACTTCCACTATAGGTGAGTTTTAGTACTCTAAGTTTTAGTAGCTCCTAGCAATTAAAGTTCCTAGAAAAAGATGAACCTGACTTTTACTTAGTTTCAACTGCCAAAAAAAGTATTTATGTATTCATGTAACCTGAGAGAAAATACACTTCCTTCCACATTAACACTTAATTTTGTATGTAGTGTCTAACCAGTGAACTTAACACATATTTTTACATATTTAGTGTTCTGTCTCCTGACTCACTTTTTCTTAATTTACAGCATCAAAATCTCAACCTGTTTCAAAAGTTACCAATGGAACTCCTGATAAAAAAAGCAGCCATGAACAAGAAACAAGACTTAACCAGTAAGTCTTCATTCATTGCTTTACCTATACATTAGCTTTCTCTGAAAGTTAGTTGTATACTAATTTCTAGTTAAATATTTTTAAGACTTCTTCTTTGTTAGATGAATTAATATATTTACACAATGATATTTTAGAACTTTTATTTATTAAAAGAAGTATATTCATGCAAAATGCTTGATACAAAATGGTAGAAAAATATATTTGTGACACTTGATCGTATCTGATCTAGTTTTATAAACAATGACTTACAAGCATATGGTTTTTGTATATTTTCAGAGATATATATTTTTTATTTCTTTGAGAGAAAATATATTTTGTATATGGGTCTTTTAAAAGTTCTTCCAGGATAGGTAGGTCACAGGGAAGGCAGAACTGCACAGAGAAGACAAATAGTGACTCTGTAGCATCTTAATACACTGATAGACAGTGACTGCAGTGGGGTGGTAGGGGGAATTAATAATATGTGTGAATGTTGAAACCACATGTTTTTCATGTGAAACCTTCATAAGATTATATATCAATGATACCTTAATTAAAAAAAAAAGTTCATGTGTTCAAATCTCCTTGTAATACTGAATGCAAATAATTTTTCTTAGTGTGCCAAAGAAGGTCACTAGCAAAGGCTATAGTGATCCAGTACCACAGGCAATTTTAAAGAAAAGAGGAAATGGCAATGGATTTGCTACAGTTCAGCAGAGAACAAAGAACACCTCATCTAATCTTGCTAAAATTCAAGGTAAAGCTGAAATAGTCCTGGGTATTACATTACTTCCTTGTTTAAACTGAATAAGCAGAACTCTGATTTGGAACTTCAACAGCAAATAAATTATGGCATGGTTTCACTCATTTAATCTTATTTTATTTTATTTTTTATTTTTTTGGTTTCATTCATTTTATATTCATTTCTACTACAGAGATGATATTTTTAGTTTTAGTTTCTGATTTCTACTACATATCAGTTTTAGTTTCTACTGCGTATCTAAGTTGTTACTGAGCTATAATAATGAAATGATAATAAGAATTTTTTTTCATTCAAAATAGTTTTGTTCATGTCTGAGGGAAAAAACAACAATTTCAACATTTCTATTTTATGCTTAGCTTGATTCTTTATTCAACTGTGTAGAACACAATCTTTTTTTCCTCAAAAACTTCAAAGGGAAGACCTTTCCTGTTCTTTTGATACAAGAAAATCAGGTGTTTCCACCCCCAAATATTAATGCAAATCCAATTCTGGCATAAGGATCAAGGCTCTTGAGGAAGAGAGATCCTGTTTTAGTAATTTTACTAAGATGTTGGAATAGTCCCTTTATATTTGTAATAGAAAAATATTTTCTTTTTTTATCATGTCACTAATTCCTAATCTGTAACTGCCCTTTTGATCAGAGATACATTACCATTTCCCATTTCATTGTTTTATTTTATTTTTGTTTAAAGTAATTTAAGAACAAATATTGAATTTCATGCACAAACTTAAAAGTGCATTTTTTAATTTTCTTAGGATCTCAAGGAGAGTCACCAAATTCAGTAAGATCTTCAGTCTCTTCAAGGCAGTCTGATGAAAATATGACAAAATTGGACCACCGTACAACTACAGATAAACAAACACCTAAGAGAAAAATTGTCAAGCAAGGATACACAACTTTGCCTAAGGTTAATGCAAAAATTGTGGCAATTCCTAAAATCCTAAATCAATCTAAGAAAGGTGAGACTTTGAATAGTAAAGATTCAAAACAGAAAATGCTTCCTGGACAGGTTATATTGAAGACTCAGCCTTCTCAAAAACCTTTAAAAAGTGAAACATCTGTTGTCCAAAAAAGTGTGCTTCCTGTTGTACATGATAATAATAGCAAGGGCAGTATTTCTGAACAGAAGCCTCACAAACCTCTAATTAATCTCACATCTGAAATCAGCCATATGGGAGTATTCCAGTCATCATGCAAACTTGATGCACAAGAGCTAATAGACAATCAAGAAAAAGAGAAATTAGTGTTAGAAAGTCAAGATATTTCAAATCTGGATAAATCAACAAAACATGAACTGGAATCAAAACAAATTTATTCAGATAAAAGTGAAACAAAATTTTCCAGTGACAAAGACACAAATCATTGCAACACAACTAAAATGCATTGTCATTCTAATGGCAGTGATAATGTAGATCTAAAACTTTATAGCACTGCTGCCCTAAAATCCATGACTTCAAATCCAAATGAAAAATCCTTGAACTCTAATCCAGTTTGTGATTTAAATTCAACAAATGCAGAACAAATCCATTCACTGTCAGATAGGGAGAATCAAGCAGGGAGAAAAGAAACAAACAAAAAACTAAGCATTAAATATGTGAAAGATGTTTTACCTTGTGTTTCTGAAAGGACAAATGGTACTTTAAATTCTGTTCAAGATGACAGAAACTCTAAAATTCATGTAGAAGAACAGACAGTTCCTAGTCAGTTGTCTGATGACTCCGCTATGAATGAAGACAAACATGCTCCAGCTGACTCAGCTGTTTTCTCTAAGTGTATTTTGGAACAAATATCAGGAAAAAATTATCCTAAAGACATGGAGACAGCAGAAACACCAGACAGCCATGGAAGTCCAGAAACCCCACTCATGAGCCACTGGAGTTCAAGCACCAGTGTCCAGCCTCCGAGAGAGAGCCCTGCATCTGACACGGGCAGTGCCACCACTTCCTCTGATGACATAAAGCCCCGGTCGGAAGACTATGACGCCGGGGGGTCTCAGGACGATGAAGGGTCCACAGACAGAGGCATCTCTAAATGCGGCACCATGTTGTGCCGTGATTTTCTTGGTCGGAGTAGCAGCGATACCAGTACTCCTGAGGAATTAAAAATATATGATAGTAACTTAAGAATTGAAGTGAAAATGAAAAAACAAAGTAGTAATGATCTTTTCCAAGTTAATTCGACAAGTGATGATGAGATTCCTAGGAAAAGGCCAGAAATTTGGTCTCGATCTACAGTAGTCCACCCTAGGGAAAAAGAAAATATTCCACGAGGTAGTGTCCAGTTTGCTCAGGAAGTAGATCAAGTTTCCTCCTCAGCAGATGAAACAGAAGATGAAAGATCTGAAGCTGAAAATTTCTCAACATCTAACTCAGCTCCTCAACAGTTTCAGGGGATAATTAATTTAGCTTTTGAAGATGCAACTGAAAATGAAAGTCAGGAGTTCTGTGCAACTAAAAATTTTAAAAGGTCAGTTTTACTTTCAGTAGATGAATGTGAAGAGCTAGGGTCTGATGAAGGGGAAGTCCATACTCCGTTTCAGCCTTCTATAGATTCTCTTTCTCCTTGTGATGTTTTCGATGTCATTCCTCATGAACATCATGGAGGGACGCGCTATTCCAAATTCTCACAAGGAAGTAAAGGTAGTATTTTAGAATGTAAACAAGGTAAAGGCCATAGTGCATATCCAAATGAAAGCTCTCTCTGGGGTCCTTGTAGCACTGACTCTTCAAGAACAGATAAACAGAGTGCTTCAGCCACAGAAAATAAGTACACAATAGATGTTCTGTCCAAAGGAGGCAGACACCTTCCAGAAGATAAAAAAGAAAACAGTGGAAGCGATGTAGATAGTGACTTTCAGCAATGCAGCAAACTCCCAGATAGTGATATAAAATCTCAAGGAAGGCCATGTCATTTGGAGCTTCATCAGAGAGAACTCAATTCTGACATTCCAAAGAACAGCTCGACAAAATCTCTGGACTCCTGTCGGAGTCAGCTTCTGCCTCAGGAAGGTCAAGGGAGAGAGAACCATTCTACAGCTACTAAAAAAGCTAATATTGCTTTTTCTGCAGGTAATGTACAGAAATAGAAATATTAAGTCCATAAGAAAATGAGTTTATAGACTTTCAAAGTTGTATGTAGTCCTGAATGTTATATTTTAGTTAGATAGAATAATTACATAGCAGATTGAAATTTTAAATGAAAACTTAAATTTCTTAGTAATATAAAAATTAGCTAGTTACTCTGTTGTTTACTTAAAATCCTAGTGCAGATTTAATATCTAGTAAAAATTTTGATTATTAATTAGAACTAACCTAATGAGAGATTTTACATGAAAAAATAAAGAGAAAAACTTAGTTTAATATTGTTTAGTTATTTATGTCTAATTTAACATAAGAATTCTTGCCTATCAGAAGTTTTATTATACATTGGATATTTATGGTCTATGCTAGTATGTATTTCAGAGGGCTGTGCAATAACTATAGTAATATGTAGCTAAAAGCACTTAACTTTTAACTAGATTAATTATTACAATTTATATACATTTTACAGAGATTAAGACTATCAGGATCACTATAATTCTATTCTAAAATTTTAAAGTAAAAAGATAAATTTCCTAAAAGAGATTATATTTAAGAGCAATGATAATATGTGAAAAGAGCTCAGGCTTATTTCATATGTATAGATGATTTCCTGTCTAATTGTTTCGTGTGTTTTGTCTTCCTTATTACAGTAAGTTGAAATAATGACCAAGATTTAATATGCAATAGTGGCTGATTGAGTAGCTATTGTATATGTGAACTAGAAAAATACCGATCAATAGTTCCTGTTCAGCAAAATCATGAGAACTTGGAACTTACACTTTTTTGTTTGTCCTTCCCTGCATCCCCCTTTGCATGTGCAGTATACAAATAAGGCTTTAGATAAAGTGTATTTATTCCCTTTGGAACTCACTTACCTTAAAAGTCACTGTCAAATGACCGTGTGTTTTCTCCTCTTTAAGTTTCTACTGTAGTGAATTAGATATATGTACACATTATATGTTTATGTTTAAATAATTTCTGTTTCCTGTATCACAAGTTTTCAAATTAAAGTATGGAGAATTATTGCTGCCTATGTTGATTTTGCTGTTAAACATTATCCTTGAGTTTTTTTTTTAACAAAGAAAAAGAAATGCCTCAAAAAACTTGTCAATTTTGTATAAATGTCATTTTTCCTTTTCTATTTGTTTTGGACTATACTGTTACACTGTGTTAATAATGTTCTACAAAACTCTGAGGGGTACCAACATGTGCAGTTTTCACATTGTGTAGTATTATGAATTATTTCAGGAGACATAGATGATTGTGACACACTGGCACAAAGCTACTGTGACCATCGGCCTTCAAAAACCCTCTCTCCAATATATGAGATGGATGTAACTGAAGCATTTGAGCAGAAAATGGAATCAGAAATACACGTTACAGACATGGATTTTGAAGATGTTCACTACTTTGCAAAACAAGATTGGACATTATTAAAGCAACTGCTCTCTGAACAGGATTCAAACTTAAATATTACAAATTCTGTTCCTGAAGACTTAAATTTAGCACAGTATCTAATCAATCAGACACTACTTTTAGCACGAGACAGCTCAAAACCTCAGGGTAAAGCACATGTTGACACTTTGAGCAAATGGAGTGAACTAACCTCTCCACTTGATGATTCCTCAGCAAGTATCACCATGGCTAGTTTTTCCTCTGAAGAGTGTTCACCCCAAGGGGAATGGACAATTCTGGAACTGGAAACTCAGCATTAAAAGTATTAACACTTTGGAAAATTTTGAATTATGCCACCACTTTATTTTTTGATGCTTCTATTATATCTAAATGACAGTTGTATTAACCAGAGATAGATTGTCCTTAATATTGAGGGATTCTTTCCACTTTACTGAGGTAAACATAGTTTATTTATTAATATGATATCACATATAGAAAGTGTTTTTCTAAAATTTTTAAGCATGTTTTCTTAATTATTAGACAAATTAGAAGACTTATAAGGAAACCCATCCTTCAGTTTTCTTTCCTAACTGATCTGTTATTACTTGTTTATCATTCAAGAATTTAAAATGTGAATGCACAAGTAGATCAGTACATTTTTATTCTGCATATGGTAACACAGTAATTTAACAATAAAAACTTACTGTGCTTGTGTCAGTTTATGTAGAGTTTATCTGTAACACTGAAACTCAGGTTGGTGCGCTTGAGGCTGATAGCCAAATATTAGCAAAAACCTTTACTTTCCTAACAATCCAGGTCCAGGATATTGTGAAGTAAATGCATCAAACTTCAATCACATTGTAACTAAAGGAAATCCAGAGAAAGACATATGCCCTTGTTTAAAAGAAGTGGGAAAATTGTCCATCTGTTCTATCTGTGTAGTTACAGTTACTATCAATTTTCCATTCCATATTAAAGAGATTTTGGAACTGCACCTGCAACAGACTTACACTAAATACTTACTTGAAAATGGGTACAAGAGGCATTTGAGTTACTGAGTTAAATTTGCTACTGGGGAGTGAACACTTGGGTACCTACTTAGTAGTGGTGGGCATTGCCCTTAGGATAATGAGACTTAGTAGAATTAGCCTCTCAGGCTCTTTTTGTTTTGTTATTTTAATGAGGTACATATAGTAAAACACACAAACCTTCATGTACAGCTTGATGAATTTTGACATGTACCTACACTCACATAACCATTCCTCTCTCAAAGCTTTATAACTAACTTGTAATTTTTCTAAAATACACTAGAAGTCAGGAAACCTTTTGGTTGAGAATTCCTTTTCTAAATTAACAGTTTTTAACAAATAATCAACAAGAGAGTCAATCTCAATAATCACTAAGGCATGATCATTTGTTATTCTTATACTAACTTGTTATACTACAAATTTGCTATACCTTTTTTAACTAGAAGCTCTGCAGGGGGCACTCATTCATTCAGTCAAGAAATGGGCATTGGTTCTAGACATTCAGGAGCAAAGGTTTGATTCCTCTCCCCTTTCCTCGCAAAAAAGAGTACCGTTTCTAGTGACAGGAAAAACCATACAAGAAAAAGTTTTAATACATCGCAACAACTTTGTATTTTTGAGCTGGGTGGGAATTTAGAGGTTAGTGTGATCCCTTCAAATTCCAAAGGAGGGTTCTGAAGCCCAGAGGAATTAAGGTAGCCCAAGGTCTCGCAGGTAATTTGTGGGCTAGAATCCATTCTTTCATTTCAGTTTGATGTTATTTCTACTACATAATACAGTTCATTTGATTTTTACCATAAAACCTGAGTGCAAATATAGTTCATAGTACAAAGAAGTGACATATGATAGAGTCAGAAACAGCACAAATTTCCAAAACATATTCTTTATCTCCAAATGTGAAATTGTTTTAAATTTTATCTTTAATAAACTACCTCAGAAGTTCACAAATTTATAATTGAAGCTTTTTTCTTTCCCAATTTCAAGGTCTTGAAAACTTTCTTCTTAAACTATTAGATATTAAACAGCTATTCATTTTCATGTCACATATGCAAATAGATAATAGGGAGGGCATTTTACTTAAGTAGTGACCTCTTAGGTAATTTAAGGATATGTGTGTGCTCGTACCATATTCTGGGATTCCTTGGGCTAGTTCTTCATTATTCAGCAAACATATATTGAAAAATAATTGCTAACATTTATTTAGCCTTTATTGTATGTCACTGTGCTAAGTAAATACATTAAAATTTAATTCTCAAGAATTCTATAAGGTATGTCTTCTTATCTTTATTTTACACGTGAGGAAACTGATGTATAGTCATTATTGTGAATGAGCCACCCTAGTGGAAGAAACTAAAAAAGAAATAGCACACTATATTACTATTTCGTAAGATAACAGTTGTATATGGTCAGAGTTGTGGAAGCCCAGAGGGGGAAGCTACGAACAGCTTCTCAGGAAGAGATGAGAGAAAGCTGCCTAGAGTGCATAACCTTCAGTAAGTGCTTCAGAATTTTTATAAAGAAGGGGTTTAATGGCTACAATCTAGTTAAAAGAGTAGGCCAGGGATCTTGGCTTGAAGATGCAGTTGTATAGAAAGTCCTTTGCTTTTACTTAAATGGTATGTTGCAGATCAATAAAAATAGAACTATTTTTATTTTTTTAGTTGTATTTTTTTATTAAAGTTTCATTGATATACAATCTTATGATGGTTTCATATAACTGTAGTTTTAACATTCACCCATATTATCAAGTCCTCACCCCCTCTATTGTGGTCACTGTCCATCGCATAGTAAGATGCTATAGAGTCATTACTTGTCAAAAATAGAAGTATTTTTAAAAGGTGCTTTTACAGTTTACATGCAATTGTAAAAACTTCAATAATCTGTACCAAAGAAAATCTTTTTATTTTTATTTTGATTTAGGTTGCTTGTGGAGGACTGATAAAGATTCTGGAGAGAGTCTAAAAGCATAGTCTCTGTCCTTGAACATCTCAGTTTTGTGAGAAAGAGATTTTTAAGCAAAAATTTCAAAATTGTGATGTTAAGTGTCATAATAAAACACTATACAAAGTGTATATATAAAACACTGGTATATATAAAACACTATACCAGGGTATAGAAGAGAAGGAAATAATGGACTGGTACTCAGGTAAGTTCCCTTATTATTTTTGGATTAGTAGGAGTTCACAAGACAAAGGAGGCACACTCTTGGCAGAAAACAGTTTAGAGGCAGTGGCAAATTCTGGTTGCTCCATGTGGCTGGAAAGGAGAAGAATGGATGGTAAGGGCAACAGATGCAGTCCCAACAGGGATGGAGAGTCCAGATGATAACATGATCAGGCTTCCATTTTTGAACGATGAATTGGTATGCAGGATGTAATGGAGCAGGGTGGCAAGGCAGGGAGACTGGAGATGTTTCAAAACTAAAGGCTTGAACTAGGGCAGTGGCTGTGGAGATAGAACTGGACATATTTGAGAGATTTAAGACATGGATTGGAAAAACGGTAACTGATCAAGTGATGAGAGCAGGAAGTATCTTAGAAGACGGGTTTCTGAGTTGGGTGCCCGAGTGGTTGATGATGTCATTAAAAGTCGAAGCAAGATTAGGAATGAGTTTAATTTAGGACATACTGAGTTTGAGATGTGGCAGGACATTCAAGGGACTGAGGACAAAATATTGTGGTGTAGTCAGAAAAAGAAAGCCTGAGAAGGGGACTGAAATAAAACAGAAGCAGACTCAGTGACACAGAGAAGAAGAGTGGTTGCCATAGGGGAGGAGTGCGGGGAAGAAATAAGTGAAGGGTATAAAGAGGCACATGATTCCAGTCATAAAGTGAATTAGTCATGGGGTGAAGTACAGCATAGGGAATATAGTCAATAATAATGTAATATCTGTGTATGTTGACAGATGGTAGCTACAATTATGTGAGCATTTAATAATGCAGATAATTGTCAAAACAATGTACACCTGAAACCAATAATATCCTATGTTTACTAGATTTCAATTTTTAAAAAAAGTAAGAGAACCAGGCCAAGGTGAGGAGGAGTGAGTGATGAATGTATAGTCTCACCACTAATCAGATGGGCAAATTAAAGCTAAGAGATTCTATTTTCACCTATAAAAATGGCAAGGATTTTTTTAAATTGAATCTTAGAGAAAATATAAGTTTGGGATACTCATGTTTTAAATTACTTTCTAGTCAGTTATTAGGCAATCTTTATCATAGATGTTTATAACTTCATATCTTAAACCTAGTCTTTTCCCCTTTAGGGATCTGCTATTAAGAAAGAAGATGAATCTAGACAAATATTTGTCTCCAAAAATGTTTACCAGAGAACTAGATTTATTAGTGAAAATTAAAACTAGCTAAATATCAACAGTAGGAGAAGGCTACATAAATTACAGTACATCTATGTAACACATATGCAATGATTAAAATTGTTTCCCAAAAAAATCTGTTTAATGCCTAGGGAAGATGCTTTTAAGAAAAAAAAACAGAATATATATTTATAAATACCCTGATCTATACATAGAAAAAGAGACTTGAAGGAAATAAGTAAAAATGTTAACGATATTATGGTTGAGTGGTGTTTATTATTTTTAACTTCTAACTCACGTTTTCCATGTTCCTACAGAAAAATAATCTGGTTTGCTTGTTTTTAGGTGGTTAAAATGTGTGATGTTGTTTGCGATGTCAAGGTGCACTCTTGGACTAGTTCGCTAGATTTGGACATCAGAATTTTATTAGTAGTGGTGTTTTTTAGAAAAGCAGTTAAGGCCAGAAACGAGACAGTGGGTTGAGAGGTGAAAAAAGGAAAGAAACCGAGTCTTCCAAGGAAACTGAGAAGACAGTAATAGCTTGAGTATACTGTTGTTTATAAGATAAAAGGAACTTCAGCACTTTGAAAATAAAAGTTGGGAATAATCAATGAATCAGGGACCATCAAGGAAGAGGCAGAAGGCGGCTGGATCAAGCACAAAGAATACTAACTGAGAGCATTTGAAGGAACTTCAGGTGTTTAATATAAAAAGGCACCAAATGCATGTGGGACAGCAGTGAAGATAAAACTGGAGAAGTGTAGACCGGTCAGAACATGCATGAGGAACCCAGGAAGCCACGCAAGGACTGTGAACAAGCCATTTAGGCAAACAGATTTTTAAAAAGTTTTTTAATCAAAGGCAAGTGTAGGACATTTATTAAGATTACTCAAGCTATATAGTGTGAAAAAATGTATTGGAAAGTATCTCCAAAAGAGACTGGAGGAGGGAAAACCTGTAAGGGAGTCATTGGAATAATTAACGGAAAAAAAGAGGCCCAAACAAGGAAGTAATCGTAAGAAGAGAAATAAGAAGATGGATTTGAGAGGTAATTAGAAAGTAGAATAAACAAGATGTGGTTGTCAATTGAGTGTGAAGATTTGGAAGAAGGGATAAAGGTGAACCCCTTCTCATTTCCCATAATTCTAACAGGTAAGAAATGAAGGCTGATGGTTTCCTGGCTGGAAAAAAGATGATTTACAATTTGGACATGTCACCTTTGAGATGCAGTTGAGACAACTAAGGTATGCAATACAATGTCTTTCAAAATTGAGAAACCCAAAGAACTGATCTTTCTACTCTCCATCCTCTGCTAATTTTTTTGGTTGGTTTTTTTTTTTTTTGCGGGGAAAGGTGGGAACTTGGTTTTGTTCAGTTTAATGATCTATTGCAGGAGCTATTTTGGATTTCGAATTATCTACATACACTTCTCCAGTAATATTTATATTGTTTTCATATTGTAAATTCTTATACCAAGAATACTTTGAATCTGGCTTAGCTAGATATGAGAAGTATACATTTCTATCATGTTAACATTCCATGAGTTACTTTTAGTGCCTGTGATTCATCTTGCATACAACGGTTTCTTAATTGCTTCCAAACTTGGCCAATATTAGCATAAGAATTTTAATTCTAATCTGAGATTCTGAT